GGCCCGGCGCTGGCGGTGGTCGGGCGCGTGGTGGTGTGCCGAGTGGTGGTTCTGGAGGCGTGCGTTGTCAGTACCAGATCCAGACCGGTCCTCGCCGCGGCTTCGTTTGCGGTAAGATCGGTCATTCCACTCCTCGCTGTTTTTGTCGCCTAGACGACCTGTTTCGTCAGCGCTTCGGCCCGTCGCCAGACCTCCCGGACTGGCACAGCATGCTTAGACGTAGTATTCCGATTTTTTACTTGGACATGGATGCCATTGTAACTGCTCTGCATGTGATGTATGCTGATGACTCTAGTGTGCTTCCTGCTTATTACTCACTGTCATCTAGAGTAGGTGTGCCTAGCTTAGCCTCCCCTGCTGCGTCAGGCGTAGGATCCCCTGCTTTGTTTAGTCTTGGTGCTTCCGTCGTCGTTCCGACGCCAGACGCCTCTGCTTCGATTTCCTTCACCTTGGACTCTGGCGCTTCCCGGTGCTTCTTCCGCGACTCCACTACACTGACGCCGCTTCCTGTTCCTGCTGCCGTTTCTCTTGCTGACCCCTCCGGCGGTCCGGTAGTCGCCGGCAGTTCCACCACCCTTCCCTGTCCGGCCGGTTCCTTCGGGCTCTCTCACAGGTCTGCATATCCCTCGTTCTCCAGGAACCTAGTTGGTGTCGGCTGCCTCCAGGACCTTGGCGTCACCACTACGTTCCCTGGTCACGAGCGGTATGCTGTCTGTACCGAGGCCGCCACTGGTGCCCTCCTGTCCACATTCCCCCGGGACCCGGTGTCCGGCCTGTTCACTCTAGACACCGTGACCCCCCCGGCTGGAGCGCTCCCTCAGGTGGCTGCGTCTACCCAGGTTGCGGCTGCCTGCTCCTGTCGGTCCCTCACTCACCCGACTCTCCTTTGGCACCACCGCCTAGGTCACCCTGCGCTCCCACGTCTGCGTCACATGTCCCAGCACGGTCTTGTCCTTGGCCTCCCAGGTTCTCTCCCCACGTTTCCCTCCTCCCACGCCCCACCTTGCACGCCTTGTGTCGAGGGCCGGCTTCGCCGTGCCCCCCACTCCTCCTCGTTTCCCCCTACCGCCGCTCCGCTGCAGACCCTTCACCTGGACGTCTGGGGCCCCGCCCCCATCCCTGGGCCGCGTCGAGAGCACTACTTCCTTCTCCTTGTCGACGACTTCACTCGTTACACCACAATCTTTCCCCTGGAGCGCAAGGCCGACGTGCCTGGCGCCCTCATCCCCTGGCTTGTCTCTGCGCGTGTCCACCGCGGTCTCCCTGTCTTGCGTCTTCACTCCGACCGTGGTGGCGAGTTTGCCTCAGGTGTCCTCGGTCGCTTTTGTCGTGCGGAGGGCATCACCCAGACGTTCACCCTACCGGACTCCCCACAGCATAATGGGGTCGCTGAGCGACGCATCGGTTTGGTCATGGAGGTGGCTCGCACCTCCATGATCCATGCCGGTGCACCCCATTTTCTGTGGCCGTTCGCTGTGCGCTACGCCTCTCACCAGCTTAACTTGTGGCCGCACCCTCAGCAGCCGCAGGTTTCGCCGACCCGTCTTTGGACTGGGTCTCCTGGTGACGCGTCTGTGTTCCACGTCTGGGGCTGCCTTGCTCACGTCCGTGCCTCCGGCACGGACAAGCTCACTGCCCGCACCCTTCCCTGCGTCTTCCTCGGTTTTCCCCTTGACGCGCCCGACTGGCACTTTTACCACCCGCCGTCTCACCGCTTCTTTCACTCTCGCGACGTCACATTTGACGAGTCCGTCTCCTACTACCGTCGCTTCCCCCACCGCGGTCCCCCGATTACCCCCCCCCCTGTTCCTGGTCACTCCTTCCCCGGTAGTCCCTGCCCCTCCTCCTCCTCCTCCCCGTCCTGCCCCCTCTGGTGTGTCCCACGTCACCCCCCTTCCGTCGGTAGACCCGGTTGAGGAGTCTTCTGACTCTGGTGGCCCTGCTGCGCAGTCCTCGCCGGCCGCCCCTCCCCCGGCGTCCCCTCCCCAGTCCCCTCCTCCACCGCCTCTGCAGCCGCTGCAGCCGTCGTTGTCGCTGCCGCCGCCGCCGCCGCCGCCGCCGCCGTCCCAGCACCCGTTCGCTGACTCTGGGGGTGCTCGTGCCGGTCGCCCTGGGGGTGGTCCCTCTGGGGGTGTTGGTGTGGAGTGTGTCGGTGGTAGCCGAGGAGCAGCTTGCGGTCCACGTGTCGTCGTTGTGCCGCCGCAGCAGCAGTCCCCGCCGGTGTCCGCCCTTCGCCTGCTCGGCCTTCCGTCCCCTGACACAAAAAAGGGGCAGCACAAATTTACTTCGAGTCTTCGGCTACAGTACACACCCCACACAGCTCGAGCAGGACGCTTCACTCAACGAGCACGGCGGGGACTACACCTCGGCATCGCAAAACACTTCCAAGCATGGAAACTCCTCGACATACAAGACAAAAATACCGTGGCCTCACGTGATGTTTTTCTACGAGCGACTGACGCTGCAGCATTACCTCGACAATGTCGCCAACACAGAAGACCCCACCGACGGTTTCGAGGGCCTTCAGTCCTTCGCCGATCGTGCTGCCGAAGCTGACGCAGCAGAAGAAGACGTACCTGAAGCCTCGGAAACTGCTGGACCAATCCCTTACTGCTCCGTGCCTATTCCCCTCGACGACAACAATCCTCTCGATAGTAACAACCTTGACACTTATTACCACTTCGCTGACCAGGGTTACGTTACACCTCAACCAGTCGATACGAATGTCTCGGAACGCATTGGACCAAATTTCTTACCCGATCCAGAAGATGGTGACGAAGCAGCCTATCCCGGGAACGAAAATTCCCCTCGACACACACCCACGGGCCTGCAGATCCTTGGACTATGGGTCGCCGTCCAGAGCCCGCCGCCGCCGTCTCCGCGCGAGCCAACAACTCTGTCGCAGGCTCTGGGGGGGGAACACAAGGCGAAATGGAAGGAAGCAATGGAAAAGGAACCGAAGGCCCTGCAAGACCGAAACACGTGGAAGCTGGTACCTGCAACAAAAACCAACGAAAAAAACGTGCTCTCGGGAAAATGGGTGTAGCACATCAAGACTAATGCGGACGGCTCCATCGAACGATTCAAGGCTCGCTGGGTCATACGAGGATTCGATCAGCGAGACGGAACCAACTACACGGAGACATTCGCCCCAGTCTCCCGTCACACCTCCTTACGCATTTTACTCGTCGTCGCGGCCACGAAGAAGCTACCACTGCGCCAGATCGACGTCGCAAACGCCTTCCTGTACGCACCTGTGGACGCCGAGATCTCCGTCGAGCAGCCCCACGGATTCATCGACGACCCCACAAAAGTGTGCTAGCTGATAAAATCCCTCTACGGGATCAAACAAGAGCCTCGACTCGAGGGCAGAGCGAAGCATATTCAGCTGCGGAAGTTTGAGTAGTTGAACCCTTGCACTAGTATGTGAGAGCAAATGATTGATTAAAATAAACAAGCATACAGGAATATATAGAGAGTAGGAAAGAGAGCAGTTGTAGAATACAGTTGAAGGAACGGTTATCGAGTCGCACATCGACTCGATCGTCGGTTCGGTTACCATCCTTGCAGTCGTAACGGTCAGTCGCAACCTCCGGTTGCGACCCTTCGAGTCTTTCGTCCTTTCGTGTTCTTTCGTCCAACCTCCCCGTGTAACCTCCGTTGACTCGCGTACCCGATACGGCTTTACTCGAGTGTAGTATTACACTTCAGAAACGCTTAAGTCCTTGAGGTATTTCCAACACTCCCCTTCGTTCCTGGAGTGCTGACGTGTCCCGATTCGGTGACATTTATCTGCCCGGTCAGCAGCATGCAGTAATCGAACTTTGCCTTCGCCAGTTTCTTCGTCAGGTAGTCTGCAGCCATTTCTGTCGTGGGGCAGTAACTGAGTTGAAGTCTCCCCTTCGCGATCTCATCCTTGACGAAGAAATACCGCAGGGCGATGTGCTTGGTTCGATTGGCGAACCCATCTTTGTTCGCGATTTTGATTGCGGATTGATTGTCGCAGAGTAGCGAGAAGGCGGGCATGGTCGCTATTTTCGCTTCCTCGAGCAGCTCCGCAGGTAAAGTCCTTCTTTGGTCGCGGTGCAGAGGGCGATATATTCTGCTTCAGCCGAAGATAGTGCAATTAATTCCTGCTTGCTCGATTGCCAGGAGATAGTCCCGATAGGTTCTAGTCGCTAGATGTAGCCCGTTCTGGAGCGTCGATTTTCCCTGTCTCTCGCATGGTCGGCGTCGACATAGCCGAATAGTCGTACAGACGACGGTGTTACTTTGCTGTAGGTAAGTCCGGTTATCGGCGTAGAGACGAAGTAGAGTAGTGCCCGATTTACAGTGACGGAAAAAACTGTCCGGATGTTTGGCATTAATTAGGTTTTTTAGGCTTTTCAACCACGGTACATAAAGTCTTAATGTTTAATGGTGGTACGCTTTTGGAGGGGCACATAGTGGATGTGTTCACAGCACTTATGTCCATAGTAGTACACTGGATCTAACTTAGTGCCAAAAGTTATACAAAGGGGTCATCCGGACAGTTTTTTCTGGGGACAAAGCGTAAACTTCCGAACAGGTTTCTAGTACCTAGTACACCGACCCTTGGCCTTGATCACCACCCGCACCCTCCTAGGCATGTTATCTACGAGGTTAGTGCAAACCGTTGCAGAGATCATCTCGCACTCTTCCTGGACCCTCCCTTTTGCATAAGGGGGTGAGCACTAGGAAAACAGCGAGGGATTTGAGTGTCTGCAAGTTTCTTGTGCACGATTTCTGTTTTAATGTTATGTATAAGACTAGCCACACTGAGGTATGACCAAAGATGCCATTAGCCGATTACTTCCATCTTATCATGGGTCGTCTTCGTCGTACTGCTGTAGGGTAAAACCACGAACAGAGCGGCAAAAAATAGTGTATATGCCATGAAACTGAGGGTGACGTAGCACGGTTGATTATTCATCCTTGCACTATTAGAATCACGCTAGGATCTGCATGTCTCATCACGGTGCAGCAGTCGAAGAAGTTGCGAATGTTTGGGAAGAATATCCAGGTTGAGGTCTGGTGAAGAAAAGGGTCACTCCAATGCAACATACTTATGCTCCCCAATGCTCTCCAAGCCATTTGTACCGCATAGGCTTGGAATAGAATTGGAGAGCATCAGTTTGTAAGGAGGAGGGTACAACACTCTTAGAGGGTACAACACTCACCTATACCCTTGTACTCTCTCTCTATTTATTACTTCTTCAGTTCTAAGAGGAACTTCGTCCTGCAACTACCCTCCCAGCACTAGCTTGTGGAACTTGTGTAGGTGGTGGAGGGCGAGGTTGAAGCGGTGGTCGTCCAGGAGGAGCACGAAGCGGCAGTACCCGGGAATGCTTGTCCAGTCGCTGTTGTTGATCATCAGACCCGTGGTCGAAAAGAGAGCCTCCGAGATCGTGACACTATTGAGGGTGACTGTGACAGGTTGGGCCTCTTGATCCCCATTTGTCGAGGGCGGTTGGTACGTGAGCTGCTTGCCCTCATAGGCAGTGGGGCGTGCCACCAGGAATATCCCCCCCTCAGGGCGAATGGGGTCCCAGCCACAGGTAGACAGAACCTGCCACGAGTTGGGGAATGCAGCAGAAATGGCTGGTTGATGTGCGGCGCAGGCCAATTGTGCTGTAAGGAAAAAGGTGAGTTTCCGGCTGAAGAAGCGCACACATGCAGAGAGGGTGCAAGGCGTGGGTCGACTGTACCTGGCACAGCTGGTCAGCGCGGTGCTTGAGCTGCTCTCGCCTCACATCCGTCTCATCCGCCAGCTGTGGCGCCACCTGCAGCACAAGTGGCGAGGAGAGGGGGGCAGCACGGTGAGAGGGAGGGAAGGAGGCAAGCAACAAGCAGGATGGCACGGAGGTGCCATGAGCCGGCCATGAAGCGGACACTGAGTGGCTTGCATTGCTGGCTCTTCATTGATGGAGAAATTCTCTCACCTCATTGGACAGCATTCGCTTGACAGCAAAGCGCAGCGTGCGATGAGGTGGCACAGCAGTGCTGAGGGCCTCCTTGAAGGACGAATCCCAGAATGCCACGTAGGCAAACAGGATCCCCAACGTGGACAGCTGTGGGGGAGGAGTGCACAAGAGGGTGGGGCCCAATGGGTGAGGGGGATGGATGTGGAGGGCGTGAACGTGAAGAGAGGGAGTGAAGAGAGGGAGTGATGAGAGGGAGTGAAGAGAGGGAGTGAAGAGAGGGAGTGATGAGAGGGAGTGAAGAGCGAGAGTGAAGAGAGGGAGTGAAGAGAGGGAGTGATGAGAGGGAGTGAAGAGAGGGAGTGAAGAGAGGGAGTGAAGAGAGGGAGTGAAGAGAGGGAATGAAGAGAGGGAGTGAAGAGAGGGAGTGAAGAGAGGGAGAGAGTGAAGAGAGGGAGAGAGTGAAGAGAGGGAGAGAGTGAAGAGAGGGAGAGAGTGAAGAGAGGGAGAGAGTGAAGAGAGGGAGAGAGTGAAGAGAGGGAGAGAGTGAAGAGAGGGAGAGAGTGAAGAGAGGGAGAGAGTGAAGAGAGGGAGAGAGTGAAGAGAGGGAGAGAGTGAAGAGAGGGAGTGAAGAGAGGAAGTGAAGAGAGGGAGAGAGTGAAGAGAGGGAGAGAGTGAAGTGAGGGAGAGAGTAAGGAGAGGGAGAGAGTGAAGAGAGGGAGTGAAGAGAGGGAGAGAGTGAAGAGAGGGAGTGAAGACAGGCAATCGACAGCAGTGCAAAGTACCTGGGGTGACAGGTCCCCCATCAGCACAAGGGCATAATGCTCGTGCGGCTTCTCCCTTTGCTCCTTCTCCCCCTCGCCCTCTAGCTCCCCTTCCCCCTCCTTGCGGCCCAGGAAGGGTTCGAGCAGCAGGCGCGGGCGGGCATGGAAGCAGAGGGAGTGGAAGGCGCAGTCCAGGATGACCCGCGCGCCCACGCGCATGCACACGCCCAGCAGCGCCGCCAGGTGCGCCGGCGAGTAGAGCGCGCCTGTGGGGTTCACCACTGGCGCTGACAGCACCAGCCAGGGCCGGGTGACGCCCGATAGTGCTGCCTCCAACTGCGAAGGGGGGAGAGGGGGAGGAGGGGAGATGGCGAACATGCGAGGATGCAGGAGAGGGCGACAAGGAAGCAGCACAGCACGCACATCTCATCCCCCACCCCCCCTTGCAACGCACCTCGTCTGCAGTGAGAGTGAAGGAGGTCTCAGCAGTTGTGACCGGGACCACCTTGACCTGGCAGCCGCACAGGCGTGCCACGGCCAGGCACGTGCCGTAGGAGCCAGAGGGGAAGACAGCAGTGCCGCCCTGGGCAGCGCAGGCGGCCATGAGGCGCACAAAGAGCGCGCGAGAGCCATCACCTGTCACCACAGTGGTGCCCTCGGGATGCACGCCCAAGTCACGGTGCAGCAGCTGGGGAGGGGAGGGGAGCGAGAGGTGAGAGGGGTGAGGAGAGAGGGAGGCGAGTGGGGAACGATGAGCAGAGAGGAGAAGGGGAGGAAGAGCGGGAGAGCGCACAAGGCATGGATGTATGAATGAGGGGCACGTGGTGGTTTGCACATGAGGGGCACGTGGTGGTTTGCACATGAGGGGCACGTGGTGGTTTGCACATGAGGGGCACGTGGTGGTTTGCACATGAGGGGCACGTGGTGGTTTGCACATGAGGGGCACGTGGTGGTTTGCACATGAGGGGCACGTGGTGGTTTGCACATGAGGGGCGTGCGCACGCACCTGCAGGATCTCTGCCCGGGGATCGGTCTCGGCCTCGCTGAGGTGCTGTCGGACGAAGCCCTCCACCACCAGCGGCTGCACCACGGACGGCGCGGGCAGTGCGCCCGACCCCACGTCCATGCGCACCGTGTCCGCCGCGCCCACGCCCCTGCTGCTGCCCGCTGCCGCTGAACTGCTGCTGCTGCTGGTGACGGCGGTGGAGGCAGGCGAGGGCGAGGGGAGGGCGTGCGTGAGGGAGAGCGTGCGCAGCGTGGGGTGGTTGAAGGCGTGGGCGGCATTGGCGTCGATGGAGATGAAAGGGGAGGAGGAGGGCTCGTCCTGCAGGGGGCGCTGCAGAGGTGCCGGGACAGGTAGGAGGATAGGAGAACAATACAAGAGTTGGGATGAGAGGGGTGGCAGAGCTTAGAACAGTCCAGAAAGAAAGAAAGTGGGCATGTGCTGTGGGTATCGCTGCGAGGCGGACTGCCCCCCTCACCTCGGCCACGGTGTGCCGGTCGGGGATCTGGAAGGAGAGGAGCTCGTCCAGCAGGCAGCCGTAGTAGAGCTGCTTCATGCGCGCCACGCGGAAGTACGTCAGCTCGCCCATGCCCGCCAGCCACGCTAGCAGAGGGCGGCTCTCACTGAGCACAAAGGCGACCTCGAGGTCGCTGTACACCTGGTTGCGCACCAGCCCGCAGATGACCCCCGCGTGCGGCGGCAGCGGCTGCTCCGCCAGGAACTGCAGCACGCCGTTGCTGGGCGGCACGCTCGACAGCTCCAGGTGGTCCGAGATGTCAAAGAAGACGCGCGTGTGCGTGTCGGTGGCGGCAGCCAGCAGCAGGTGCAGCGCGGTGGGCGAGCGCATCTCGTAGTCCGCCAGCGCCACTATGAGCACCGCCGGGCGCAGTGACCTCAGCAGCTTCAGCAGCAAGTCGCTGCGGCGCGGCGCCTCCAGCACCACCGGGGTGCCCTGGGGGAGTGGTGAGAGGGGAGAGTGCGAGTTGGTGAGAAGGGTGGGGGACGCAAGGGAAGAGGGAGGGAAGGCGTGGGCGTGCACAGTGCGGTGGCACAAGAGAACTCATCCCACCACAGCTCCTGCTCTGCCCACCTGACACCACTACCTGCCCACCTGACACCACTACCTGCCCACCTGGTACCACTACCTGCCCACCTGGTACCACTACCTGCCCACCTGATACCACTACCTGCCCACCTGACACCACTACCTGCTCACCTGACACCACTACCCGCCCACCTGACACCACTACCCGCCCACCTGACACCACTACCTGCCCACCTGACACCACTACCTGCCCACCCGAATTCAATCACCCGCCCAGCTGACACTACTACCCGCCCAGCTGACATCGTCAAGCCCACCTGGGCGTGTGTGGCGCCATCTGAGGGCGGGCCATCTGGCGGGGCGGCGGAGAGCCAGGCGGAGGGGAGGTGGCGAGTGAGGGAGGCGTCAACGAGGGCGAGGGCGGGCATGTAGAGGCGCAGGATGTTCTCCACCGCCGTGGCACGCGTGGGCAGCACCACCACGTTCTGGGGGGGCGATTGGATGGGGGGAGATGGCAAGAGAAAAGGGAATGCGGGGGAGAGGGCAGATGACAGAAGGACCACTCTGCACCAGGGGACCAGAGGGCCTTCTGAGTCGACTCAAAAGGACCACTCTGCACCAGGGGACCAGAGGGCCTTTTGAGTCGACTCAAAAGGACCACTCTGCACCAGGGGACCAGAGGGCCTTTTGAGTCGACTCAAAAGGACCACTCTGCACCAGGGGACCAGAGGGCCTTGTGAGTCGACTCAAATGGACCACTCTGCACCAGGGACCAGAGGGCCTTTTGAGTCGACTCAAAAGGACCACTCTGCACCAGGGGACCAGAGGGCCTTTTGAGTCGACTCAAATGGACCACTCTGCACCAGGGGACCAGAGGGCCTTTTGAGTCGACTCAAAAGGACCACTCTGCACCAGGGGACCAGAGGGCCTTTTGAGTCGACTCAAAAGGACCACTCTGCACCAGGGGACCAGAGGGCCTTTTGAGTCGACTCAAATGGACCACTCTGCACCAGGGACCAGAGGGCCTTGGACAGAATGGCAGTGCATGTTGCGCTTGGGCCACTGGGGTGGTCCCACAGATCATGGGAAAGGCTACAGGTTCCGTCCTGGGGGGTTCTGGATGCGCCTTCCCACCAATTCAACACACCCTTTTGGCCCAATCGGTTAGCGGGCTGGTGTTTCTAAAAGTGTATAAGTTTTGAGTGACACACCTTTTCTCAACCCATCACCGTGCTCATCCATTTCACCCCCTTCCTCCCCGCCTCTCGTGAATTCCCCCCCTTCCCCCCCTCTGACCTGCGCGGAGAGCGGCACGCGGAAGTAGAGGCGCAGGAAGCCGGCGACCTGGGAGCGGAAGCGCAGTGTGCCGGCGGGGGGCTCGTCCGACGGGCACAGCGCGGGGGAGGAGGCGGCGGGCGAGGGGGCGGGGGGGAGGGCGGCGTGGTGGAGGGTGCGGAGGAGCGTGGCAAGGAAGGGCGTCTTCTCGTCCGCCACCGCGTCCGACGCGAACGCCAGGTCCACGGCGCTGCGCGTGGCGGCGTACTCGGGGCGGGCGAGATAGCGAAACAGCTCCTTCACCTGGGGGGGGGGGGGATTGGGTGGGATAGGTCAGAGCATGGCGAGTGTGGCATGGCATGGCATGCCAGACCGGAGCGGCTTGAAAGGCCACACAGGGCGTGACATGCGTGGTGTGAGCGCATTGGCATGGCATGCAATCACGCGGCGCCCCACACCACCCTGCCACCCTGGCCCTTACGTGGTTGGGTTGTCTGAGGCGGCATTCGAACACCGTGAGTCCGTGTGCGATGCGCCCCCCTGCCTTGGCGAAGGCGTAGGCGGTGCGCGCGCTGATGGGCTCGTCGCCCGTGGTGGCGGCGCCCATGCCCAGCCCCATGAAGAACTCAAAGCGGTGCCGGCTCTGGCGCTCGATCTCCACCAGCGCCTGGATGTCCGTGTCCGCCGCCTGGGCGCACCACATGGCATGGCGCACACGCCATGGGGCACTCACACACACACGGGCCACAGTGCACAGGGAGAGTGCAGGTGACGAGAGTTGAAGGGGAAATGAGGCACAGAGGATGCAAAGGTGGGCAGGTGAGCCAGTGGTGGCGAGAGAGAAGTTGAGGGCACAGAGGTAGTAGAGGCATGAAAAGGAATGTACGCCTCCTGATCTGCCAGCACCCAGCAGCAGCCAGCAGCAGCCAGCAGCAGCCAGCAGCAGCCAGCAGCACCCAGCAGCACCCAGCAGCACCCAGCAGCAGTCAGCAGCAGCCAGCAAGACCCAGCAGCAGCCAGCAGCAGCCAGCAGCAGCCAGCAGCAGCCAGCAGCAGCCAGCAGCAGCCAGCAAGACCCAGCAGCAGCCAGCAGCAGCCAGCAGCACCCAGCAGCAGCCAGCAGCAGCCAGCAGCAGCCAGCAAGACCCAGCAGCAGCCAGCAGCACCCAGCAGCAGCCAGCAGCAGCCAGCAGCAGCCAGCAGCAGCCAGCAGCACCCAGCAGCAGCAGCAGTAGCAGCAGCAGCAGCAGCAGCGCACCTGGAAGACGCGCGTCTGCCAGAGCTTCTGGATGCGGAACCCCCGCCGCCGGAAGAGGCGCTCGCAGACGGCCATGCCGGGGCGGCCGCCCATGTTCATGAGCAGCGCGCCGGCGGGCTTGAGCGCGCCGATGCTCTCCTCCACGGCGCGTGCGATGAGCCCCAGGCCGAACTGGTCCTCGACGTAGCCCTGCAGGCTGCAGTAGTTGGAGAGCGAGTAGAGGAACTCCTCACTCATCGTCTCCGACACTATCTTCAGCGCCGCCTTCGGGTCCGGCGTCAGCACCTGGGGGGCGAGGGAGATGGGGAATGAGGGAGTGAGGGAGGAGGAAATCAGGGGATGAGTCCACACGTGCGCTTCTGTGTGTGTCTCCATGTGCCCTCACATGCAATCATACACACTGCAACCATGCGATCAACACCACCCCATGTCCCACCATCCCATCCCACGCCCCCCCACCACCCCCCCTTTGCACCTGGGGGATGCAGCCGACGATGCGGTCGAGCGTGACCCCTCGGTCCGTGAGCGCGCCCAGCAGGTCGGACTCGAGGAACTCGCAGCGGTCCAGCAGTGACAGCCCCTCGCTGTCGCGCACGGGCAGCCCGTCCAGCGGCGAAAGCGCGTTGAGGTACAGGTTGATCCACGCCACCTGCACGGCGCGCGGGTTGATGTCCAGCCCGTACACCTGGGGGGGGCGGGGGGGGGGGGTTTTGTGCGGGTGGGGATGGGGTTGGGGATGTGGATAGGGATGGGGTTGGGCATGCAGGGGGGAGAATGGGTAAGGGAAGGATTACTTACAGGAATGCAGCTTAGATGAGAAGCCATTTTCTGCTCGTTTCATCCAAACACTCCCTTCTCCCCCACACTACTACCCTTCCTTCTCCTTCCCACATTCTCGTTTCCGCCCTCTCATCCCCAAACGCCAGAAGCACAAGCCTCATTTGCACCCCTCCCCCCCCCTGTCGGCCGTCCCTGTGTCGCACCTTCCGGGGCGCCCAGCGGTGCGCGAGCGCGATGGAGATCCACCCATTGCCGCACCCCAGCTCCGCCACGTCGCGTCCAGTGAACCCGGCGTCGGGGTGGCGCGTGAGGCCCTCGTAGAAGGTGAAGGACCAGTCCTCAGGGATGAAGATGGACGGCAGCTCCACCAGCGTCAGCGTCTGCCGCACGCCCCCGCCCCCACCGCCGCCATTGCCCGCGCCCTCCCCAGCCCCTCCGTTGCCATTGGCGGCGGCAGCAACGGCAGCCCCGTTCCTATGTGCCCCTACAGGGTCGTCGTCTGGGGGGAAGGGAGGAGAGGGGAGGGGCCTGGAGGGTTTTAGTGACAGAATGGCAACATCGTTCTTTCATTGTCTGCCAACTCTCGCTACTGTCACCATTTCACACCATCGCCATCTCTGCTCACCACTGCTCGCTATTCCCAGGGTTGGGTGGGGCGAGGGCCTACCGGAGTGGGGGAGCGGCGAGAGCGCGAGCGTGTGGATGCGGAAGTTGAAGGTGCGCATCACCTCCTCCGCCGCCACCGCCGGCATCGCCGCCTCCAACGCCGCCAGGAACCTACCACGTGGACGAGTGGGTGGGGAAGGGGAGGGAAGGGGAGCTGTTAGTAACAGGCGTCACGACTCAATGCGTTTTCTTGAAATCAACCCACGGGCAAATGGGAGTTGTTGATATTGCAAAAGGCCGTTCATTACCCGCCAAAGGGAATCTCGCACCGTGAGATTCTGCCTAGCATACCTTCTGGTGGAGGCTTGCGTGTCCGGGTTGCGCAGCGCCTTGAGGAGGTCCTTGAAGTTGGCATACGCCTGCAGGCCGCCGCCGCCACGGCACGCACAGGCGAGGGGAATAAGGAATGCGGGGGATGAAACACGAGAAGCAGCACGGGCGCGTCATTCAGAAGACGGAGCAGCGCGAGGAGAGGGAGCAGCGCGAGGAGAGGGAGCGCACCTGATTGCCCGACTGCTTGCAGCTCGCGAGGAACGAGTCCACGTCATCCAGCGCCGCCGCCATCCTTCCCCACCCCCGCACGGCAGAGCGCGAACCGTAATCTGGCGTGCAAGTCACGCGCGTAGAATCTAGAGCTTGAACACGGTGGAGATTGAATGGTACTTAGAGCTCCTGAAGCAGACTACTCTGGGTAGCAAGATTCACAACTGAGTAGCGTGAGGGAGGTGGGGCAAGGAAATGCGGGGATTTGAAGTTGTGGCAACAGCGCAATAAAATGTCACTCGTGGGATGTGCTGCTGGTGAAGTGATCCCCGAATTGAAAATTGTTCGCAGCAGCACCAGCAGCAGAGGAACCTTGAATTCGGCTCGGCCGAGAGCCTGAGGCAACATCAAGGCTCGCCTCGGCCGAGACGAGCCTTGATGGAAACAAAGATGCTGCCACGCCTGCTTGGCACAGGCTCGGGAAGTGGCTTGGGGAGTGTCCCAGCTTTTGCCCAGCGCCGACTAGCGGTTTGACACATGGCAACACCTGGGAGTCACCCTGACCTGACGTGATGTGATTCCTGCCCGCGTCATCCACGTTACCAGAATGCGTCACACGAGGAAATCCCGTTTACAAGGATGCGTCAGATGAAGGGATCACATTCCTTAGTGCAATGAACGAGGACAAGACTCTACGCATATACTGGTAGTATTTATGCTCCTACCTACACCCCTAAATCACACCTCTCCAGACCTGTTGGACTTCCTGGGAGTCAACCGTAGTATCAAATGCAACTACAGTAGTGTCGCACTGAAGGGGAACTGTGAGGGAATATTCCTGGTCAGACTTGCGTACTGCATAACCTGTCAGTCAGCGTTGCATCAGATCAGAGGCTAATGTGGTCCAAGGCCAGAGAGGAAGAGACATGCATTGCTTGTGGAGATAATTTACATTTCATCCATTGTGAAGAGCACGTGAATCTGTGGTTGGACTAACAGCACTAAACAAGTCAAGTGTGTGAGGAGCGAACTCCATTCAAGCATTCACTATCACAATCACATGTTGGGAGGCATGCCTAGGCTGGATGCAAGGTCCTTCATGCGTAGCTTCATGGCCTGCACGCACACAGCAGGGTTAGGTTGGGGACAAGGCAGAGGCAGAGGCAGGGGAGCAGGTGAATATGGTGTCTGTACATGAGGCCCCATGGTGCAACAGCATCACAGGCAAGCGGCGAGCATTGGGGGTGCAGTGCAGGGCGTACCGTGACGCTCTTCTGGTGGGAGTCCTTGTACGCCTCCGTGATCAGCTCGCCCAGCCTCTGCGACCACGGAGAGGGGGAGGGGAGAGGGGTGCAGTCGCAGCGACACATGGAATGAGTGAAAGCGCTCCGAGCTGCTCTGCGCATGGCAACAGAATACGACCAGATGCGCCGCAGCTACCCTCCTCTCGTCCGCTCCCTCTCACCTCTGCCCCGAGCTCCATGGCGGCATCAGTGATCTCACACCGGCACGGCTCCTGGTTGCCCGTCAAAGTCACCTGCAATGCAACGCAACGCAATGCAATGCAACGCAATGCAATGCAACGCAATGCAATGCACGCCAGCATCGGGGCGCGGCGAACGTCCGGGAAACGGAATGAGCATTGAGATGGGGAACTTGCGAGGCAGCAGTGGAGCCATGGCCCACGCCATGCCAGGCAGGCCGGTGGTTCGAGTCAATGGGAGGAAGAGCTCCACGAAGGAGACGGCAGGATTCCTTGGCTCACAGAATAAAGGACCTTCTTTGCTCTCTCTTCTAAGCACCGGATTTTCCTGGCGAACAGCATGTGTGCGAGCCGCAGGTGGGCGGCGGCCCTGGACGCACCTTGACCAGCTCGTCTTCGCAATAGCCGTCGAACTCCGCCCTGCCAAGGGGACGAGCGCAGGGCGAGAACGAAGCCACTTGCGGCGGAGCAACGCAGCGTGCAACTCATAGTGCGACTTGGGCTCCCATTGACACCCCTTTCTACATGCATGCATGTGTTGGCAAACTTCCCCGCGTCATACCGCGCGTCATTCCCACCATGAAAGTTAAAACAAGCACTAGCACGGGCGTGAGGGATGGAAGATGCATGGAGGGGCGGGGCGGGGGGTGGGGCGAAAGGGTCTCACGCGGCGAGCTCCTTCTGCACCTTGACGGCCTCCACCTGCACGACCTGCTGCGCCTTGCGCACCGTCTCGAACAGATTCGCCATGTTGCCGAACGGCCCCGCCTGCACCGCATGCGCATGGGACGACGCAAGTCAATATGCATGCCAACGGCCGTGCATCTCAGTGCACGGGCATCTCAGCGCGCGGCCATCTTAGTGAGCGGGCACCTCAGGTGCTTTCAAAGCGTGCTTACGTTTTTGGCGCCATCGCCGGCCAGATCTGTGTCCTTGCCGCCGCCGAAGAGAGCCCTCGCTGGACCCACGCGTTGCCCTGCACTCACGGCGGCACGGCGGCAGCGCAACGAGCGAATGTGAAAACGAGGCTCCGACATTCGCACGACATGACGAGCAGGGTGAAGAAGCCAACCACGCCCCCAAAACGCGCATCTGCGACGCAACTCACCGACCCGTGACCTCACGACTGGCTGGACGAGGACGCGAGGAGCGGCGAGGAGAGACGCTCCTGATGCGAGAGTGATAGACGCGGCCATGGCGACAAAGATGTGTGCAGGGTGCTAGGAGGAAAGGCGGGCGAGACAACTAAGGAGAGAAAGAAAGAATCTGTGAATGCGAGGTTTGAATGCTGAGGGTCGAGAAGCCCAAGTTTATGGATCACATCATGGAGGAAGGATTCCAATCGAGTGCCACATCACGGGGGACACGTGGCTCGACGGCGAAGTGTCAATATCGACTGCTCGCACAGACTATCCTACAGTTGCGTTACAGCTCGTCCGTTAAGAGGTCAAACACCAAAGACACACTCAAAATAAAAGGAGGAAAAACGCATGCTCAGTATGAAATGCACGTGCATTCTTAAAGCGAGAGATATAATAGTGACCCCTCTTTCTAATTGGGCCCAACTAGAAACGACCCAATAGTGAATTTGTTTTTGGAGTGGCGGTCAGCAGCCCCCGTTTTTTGCCAAGCCGTATGCCACGAAATCGAATTGCGTTTGCGACACGTCGCACTGGCGACAAATTTTACGACCGCAGATTTGCGCACTTAGCATTTCGACCAATCGAGGCCCAGCCTCGGTTTTGTCAGAGTAGTGAACTCGGGCCCAACTTGAAATTCAAGTTGGGCCCACTGGGTGCAGCTTGAAATAAATCGTCTGATGTTATAGTAGACTAAGTATAAAACTTCAAACAAGAACACTTGGCAAATCCTCAAGTGTTGGTCCAGGATCTTTGCTGGAATGGTAGACTAGTAAGACAGCGGAAGTCTTGTAAAATGTAAAGGTCAAGGTTGAATAACTTGAGTACGTGAACTTGTGAGTAATCAAAGTTAATAATGAAAATGACCTAACAGAGATTTATAGTTCTACGAAAAGTACCTATTCGTTAATGTACCTATTCGTCACTATCGCGCTATGCGCCCTAGATGATAATGAAGGGGTGTGACTGTTCGCGTGACTGAAACGACTGTCCTATGACGAGCGCTATTTGCTGACGTCATCCTACGGACTTACCTTCTATAGTATGATTCGACACTAACTACACATAATCGACTTACAGAAATGCTAAGTATCAATTATATCACAAAACTCCCCTTCATTTCTGGAAGTTCGATAGTGTCACTTCTTGAAGATTCCGCAGAGCTTGTTACAGTACTGAAACTTCTGTCGTGTCAGCTTCCTCGTAAGAAAATCAGCAGCCATTTCGTTGGTCGAACAGTAGACCAATCGCATCCTCCCCTTCTCGACTTCATCTTTGACGAAAAAATAACGAAGCGAAATATGCTTTGTTCTGTTGACGAAACCAGACTGATGTGCGATGCGAATTGCACTTTGATTGTCGCACTGTAGGGTAAACTGGGTAGTTGTCGTCAACTTCGCTTCTTCCAATAGTTCCTGTAAGTAAAGCCCTTCGCGTGTTGCTGTGCAGACAGCAATAAACTCAGCTTCAGCAGAGGAGAGTGCAATCAGTTCCTGCTTCGTAGAATTCCAAGAGATAGGTCCGACAGGTTCCAGTTGATAGATGAACCCAGTGCGTGACCGTCGATTAGTAGAATCAGTAGTGTGATCGGCGTCGACAAAACCGTGTAGATAGAGTGTTTTACAACCGATGACGTTGTAGATTAATCTGACGTCAGGTGTCGAGATAAAACATTGAAGCGCGCGGAGAAGATCAAGCTGATGCTCCTCCTCAGGACGGCGTAGGAACTGTGCTAGTTGACTGGCCGCATAGGCTAGATCAGGACGACAAGTGACAGCGGCGAAAAGTAGACAGCCTAGCTGCTGTTGATAGATCTGTAAACCGGTTGAAGTTAACAGTGCGGTGTTCGGTTTGTGGTCAGTCGGTAGTGAGCGGTACGGTGTAGAGACTGCAGTAGGTATGAGGTTGAAGCGGGCAGCGAGTGTTGCTGCATACTTCGAAGCGGTGAGATGAATAGTTGTCGGTGAACAGGTAATGTTCAGTCCGAGAAACTGTGAGACTGTTTCGGAGATGGTAAGCTGTAGATTTTCCTGTAATTTCAGTATGAAGGTCTCGGCAAGGGAATCGGTAGTACTGACGTATAGGATGTCATCGACGTAGGCGACGAGTAAAATGTAGTTGCTGCCATCGGTCAGTAGATACATTCCCTGATCATGCGGTAACTGTCGAAATCCAGCAATGATCAGCTGCGAGTGAAGATACTGCTGCCAGAGCCGTGGTGCCTGTTTAATGCCGTATAGAGATTTTCGGAGACGGCAAACGCTCGGTGGGTTAGTAGTATAAGAATGCGGGTACTCTACCAGGATGAGTGCGTCGACAGGCGCGTAGAGAAACGCATTCGAGACGTCGATTTGGCGAAGACGTAGATTACGGCAGGCGGCGACACAAAGAAGAATCCGAACGCTTGTATGTCGGCCGACAGGAGCAAAGGTGAGTTCATAGTCGATGCCGTAAGTCTGCTCAAATCCGCGGACGACCCATCGTGCTTTAATTTTTTCAAACGACCCATCTGCATTAGTCTTGACGCGGAAGACCCATTTTCCGGTAAGTACCTTCTTCCCTTTGGCCTCTGAAGTCGGTACTAAATCCCATGTTCCGCGATTCTTGAGTGCTGCTAGCTCCTTGTCCATGGCTTCGCGCCATTTCTCTCGGTGAGGACTCGTAAGAGCTTGTCGGACGGTTTTCGGTTCAGGTATCTTACTGTCGTTGCACTGTACTGCTACTGCAAATCCCTGTATCTGCAATCCTGTTTCTGTAAAACGCGGACGTTCTTCGTTTGCACCTGCGAAATTTTCTTCTGCTCCTTCTTCCCCCCCAATTTCGTCAGGTGTAACACAAACTGCTTCGTCAGAGACGACGGGCATCGGCTGTTGCTGGCGGTCGCGTTCGTAACTGAGACGAACTTCGCGAACATCATCCTGGTCAGCATCTGCAAGAGGAATGAATTCAGGTATGCCGGTCGAGGTGACAGGTTCGGGAACGTCTGTTGCGGCAGCTTCGGAAGCTTCAAAAACATCCTCGTCCTTTACATCAGCTTCGGCTTCGTCAGTTGCAAACGCACGCGAGCCTTCGAACAGCCTGGCAGGATTGGCAGCTGCTGCCTGGTGGGCACGAAAAACGAGCAAGGTGAGTCTTTCATAGAAAAGACAATCACGTGATGGAACGATTTGATGGGAGCAAAGATCCAAAATCTTCCACGCGTGATACTGTTTTTCGATGCCGAGGTGTACCCCCCATTTTGCTCGTTCAGAAAATTTTCCGAGTGCTGCGGTTCGAGGACGAAACTGTACAACACACCCGAAAACTCGTAAAAGTTTTGTGCTTCCCACTGTTCGTGTCCACTGCAGGTGTGGAGAAGAAAACTCGGGCAGGGACGTTGAAGAAAGAAGATTGTGTAACAGCATGGCGTGGTCCATCGCATACGGCAAAAAATGCGGTGGAAGTGCTGCCCGCGTCAGCAGAGCACGCATCTTCTCCTGCAGGGTTTAACCTTTCTGCTACCCCCATCTGTTGGTGTGCATGTGGAAGAGACTGCTTCCGTTTGATGCCGAGTGTCTGAAGGTAGTCTGTGAAAGTGTTGCTGGTGTACTCCCTTGCACCATCACTATGAAATTCTTGCATTTTCGCGCCAGACTCCCGTTCAGCGACAGCGAGCCACGCGACGAAAACGGAGTGAGCGAGATGGCGCGCAGGTAAGTTAGCTGTCCAGACATATCGTGTAGACGCTTCGATGAAGGTTATCACGTACTTCTCGTCTTTAGGGCCTGCTTCAGACAAGTTGAGTATGTCGCTGTAGACTTTCTGCATCAGTTGATAACGGGTTGAGCCGGGAAAATGACTTGGAAACGGATCATGAGTAAGGTTGGCAACTGGACAAGTAGTGCAAACCGTCGGACGAGACTGCGGCTTCATCTCCGTGCCATCAGGTAAAAGTAAACTATTTTTATCGAACTGCTGCTCGGATTGAATGATTAAGAATCCCTTGTGATGGATGTCCTAGCCGCTGATGCCATATATCTTCCGTGGCTTTGTGTCCTGATGATCGCAGGTAGAAATCAGAGTTAGTATAAAAGGAAGAAAGAATGAAAGAAGAAAGGGCTGGTGACTTGTCAATTTCTCCTTCGATGAAACGGTGAAGAGGTAACGTGACTTGTGATGTTGCTAATGCAGGTGCGAGTATAACCCTGATACTGCTTCTGTTGATGTCGTGGCAGGTGTTTCGGCGACAGCTACGGTTGGACTCGGCTGCTCAGCTACGGCTTCCTGTTCGGCTTCTTCAACAACGTCAGGTTCATCAGCGGCAAGACCACTTATTTCTCCCCAAAGTGGTGCTGGAGTTCCTTGGAAGGTTGTACGGGTATTATAAAACGTTCGCCACGCGGTGGCGCTTTCATCGGCGGTATTGAACTCCCAGGTATCCAACGCGGTAAGTACGGCGGCTGCTGTTCGAGAAGCTGTTGGTACTGAAGTTGCGCGAAAATCAATGTCCACATGTTGATAATCGGTTTCTTCTGGGTGATCCCAAGGACCAAGTGCAAGGACACGTTCAGAATCGCCAAAAGTTCCCTAAGCTGCGAACTGAAGTACCGACACGCCATGTTGAGTGGCCGCACGACCAAGGTAGGTATTAGTTGTACTGTGCCAGAGCTCTTGATCCATCGTCTCACAATTTCCTTGTGTACGGATTTTGTGTGCCAGGAGTTGAGCCGTAGAAAGAAGGTTGAAGCCAAGTCCGGCGACGATAAGAACATTCGTAACATGAAGTGAGTATCCCGTGTCGATAGATTCGAGCATGACACTGCCAACTGATCGTGCCATTATCGTTTGTCCGTTTGCGACTGTGACAGGTATCGGACGACGAAGTGGACGCTGATTAGTGATAAAGCTTGTTTCGGCAGAACACAAATGCCATCCGTAGCAGCTGTCGAGATACCAGGTATTTGGTCCTGAAATTATGCGAGCAAGGTTAGCATAAACTTGAGGTAAAGGAATGCCTTCAGCACTTGTTTCTTCAAGTCGTGTTTCGAAATCTGTTTCTGCAACATCAACTGTGGTGACGCAGCCAAAAACCCCTTTTCTTGATGTGGCAGATGCGAAGACCGGCGGACGATGCTGCGACGTCGATGGATTCGGTGGCGGTTTCG